TTGGGCTCGGGGGGATGTCCTGCCGTGGTGGGGTGACTGGCTGGGGAGTTTTTGGGGCGTGGTGGGATGTCCTGGTGTAGGGGGGTGGCTGGCTGTGGAGTGCCTGGCTGTGGTGGGTTGTCCCCCCGTGGTGGGGTGACCGCTTGTGGGGTGCTTGGGCTTGGGGGGATGTCCTGCCGTGGTGGGGTGACTGGTTCTGGGGTGCCTGGGCATGGTGGGATGTCCCCTTGTGGTGGGGTGATTGGTTGAGGGGTGCTTGGGCTCGGGTGGATGTCCTGCCGTGGTGGGGTGACTGGCTGTGTGGCTGTGATAGGATGTCCTGTTGTGGTGGGGTGACTGGTTGCAGGGGGAGGCCTGGCATGGTGGGGTGACTGGTTGTGGGGTGCTTGAGTGTATTGGGATGTCCCCCCCGTGGTGGGGTGACTGGCTGGGGAGTTTTGGGGGCGTGGTGGGATGTCCTGCCATGGTGGGGTGGCTGGTTCTGGGGTGCCTGTCCGTGGTGGGATGTCCTGGTGTGATGGGGAAATTGGCTGTGTGGCTGGGGTGGGATGTCCCCCCCGTGGTGGGCTGGCTGGTTTTGGGGTGCCTGGGCATGGTGGGGTGTCCTGCCATGGTGGGGTGACTGGCTGGGGGGGTTTGGAGCATGGTGGGATGTCCCCCCATGGTGGGGTGCCCAGTTGTGGGGTGCCTGGATGTGGTGGGGTCTTCTACCATGGTGGGGTACCTGGTCATGGTGAGATGTCCTGTTGTGATGGGGAAACTGGTTGTGGGGTGCCTGGGCATGGTGGGATGTCCTGCCGTGGTGGGGTGAGTGGCTGGCGAGTTTTTGGGGCGTGGTGGGATGTCCTGCCGTGGTGGGGTGACTGGTTGTGTGACTGTGGTGAGATGTCCCCCCATGGTGGGGTGACTGATTGTGGGGTGTCCTGGCACGGTGGGATGTCCTGACCATGATGGGGTGTCCTGGCATGGTGTGGTGACTGGTTGTGGGGTGCCTAGATGTGGTGAGATGTCCTGGGGTGGTGGGGTGACTGTTTGTGGGGTGCCTGTTCATGGTGGGATGTCCTGCCATGGCGGGGTGAGTGGCTGGGGAGTTTTTGGGCATGGTAGGGTAACCGGCTCTGGGGTTCTTGGACCTGTTGGGATGTCCTGCCATGGTGGGGTGACTGGTTTTGGGGTTCTTGGACCTGTTGGGATGTCCTGCCACGGTGAGGTGACTGGTTTTGGGGTTCCTGTTCCTGCTGGGATGCCCTGCCATGGTGGGATCTCCATTCCCTATGGAATGTCCTGCCATGGTGGGATCTCCATCCCCTATGGAATGTCCTGCCATGGAGTGATTCCCATAAAAGCAGGAGCTGCTGGGCTGGGCAACCCTCACCTCCTCCTTCCCTTCTCGTCCTGGGGGTGCAGCTGCTTCCATGGGATCCCTGGGGATTTACATCCCCCCTGGCAAGGAGGTGAAGGAGTGGCCATCGCTGTTCCTGCTCTCGGTGCTTTTAACCCCAAAACTGGGGTGCTCCCCCTGGAGCATCCCTAAAAACCAGCCTTACCTGTGGATTCACTGGGCTCTTGGGACGTTCTCCCACCTCTGGGAATTGGTGGAATTCCATGTCTTGGTGCTCGTCACCTCCAGGCTTTAAATGGAGCTGGAAAGAGCCGAGGGATGAAAATCTGGGATTGGGGTGACCTGGAGCTCCACCGTCACCTCATCCCACATCCCATGCAGGGAAGGAACTCAGTTTTGGGATGTCACCCCCCCTGGATGATGGCAAAGCCCACCCTGGAGCTCTGGGAGGTGCCTTTTCCCTGGAAGGGCTCAGAGGGGCCGATCCCAACCCAGATTCTGACCATGGAGCTGGGAAGGAGGATGTGGCAGCAGGAGGAGTGGGATGGGTGATGGGAGGAAGGACACCCATTCTTGGAGAGGTGGGTTAGATCCTCATGGAGAAGAGCTCGTTATCCAGTCATGGAAATCAGGCATTCCCAATTCTTTGGTTTTTTCTGGAAGCGCCACCCGCTGCCGGGTTGGGATGTTGGGTCGCTCACCATTCCGTGCCTCGGTTTCCCCACTGGTGCCTTGGCTTTTCCCATGGGAATGACTCCCTAAGGTCATCCAGAAAGAGGAAAACAAAAGGAAAAATCCCTCTGGGAATGGTGCAATCCTTCCATCCAACCCCCCCACCCCACTCTCTTGGAGTGGGAGCAATCCCTGTCTCGATGCCGGGCTGGGACATCCTTACCCCCCAATCCAGCTCCTGCTGCTCCCACATCCTCCCACTCTCCGGGATGTTGTGGAAGTGCCGGGATCTCCCGGAGCTCACGCCTGCCAGGGCCATTTCAAATCCCCCCTTCCAGCCGACTTCCCGCTGGGAGAGGGATTAGTGGGAAGGGCTGATGTCTCTGTTAGGGATTGTCAGGGCCAGGACACGGATCCAGGCTCTCCCCTGGACTCCTGGGATAATTACACGCTTCGTTAAGTGGCTGATGGACACGTGTCCAGGCCTGGGATCCGTGTCCGGGCCTGGGATCCGTGTCCGGGCCTGGGATCCGTGTCCGGGCCTGGGATCAGTGTCCAGGCCTGGGATCCAGGTCTATGACCAGGATCCATGTCCAGGGATTCATGATCCAATGTCCATGGAGGACACACAGCCTGGGATTCGTGTCCAGGCCCGGGATCCGTGTCCAGGCCCGGGATCCATTTCCAGGCCCGGGATCCATTTCCAGGCCCGGGATCCATTTCCAGACCCAGGATCCATGTCCAGGCCCGAGATCCATGTCCAGGCCCGAGATCCATGTCCATGCCCAGGATCCATGTCCAGGCCTGGGATCCATGTCCAGACCCAAGATCCATGTCCAGGCCCAAGATCCATGTCCAGGCCCAAGATCCATGTCCAGACCCAAGATCCATGTCCAGGCCCGGGATCCATATCCAGGCCCAGGATCCATGTCCAGGCCCGGGATCCATGTCCAGGCCCGAGATCCATGTCCAGGCCCGGGATCCATGTCCAGGCCCAGGATCCATATCCAGGCCCAGGATCCATGTCCAGGCCTGGGATCACCTGGAACATCCCCTCCAAAATTAACCTCATCCCGGAGGTCTTCCAGCCCCTCACCCTCAGCAGCCCCTCATTCCCAGCACAGGGAATCTGGCAGAAAACAGCCCTTAAAAGGGATCTTTTAAGAAATTAAAGACAAGAGGGGTGAAGGAAGCCTGGAAAATCCAAGAGGATTTTGGAGAGGTGACACTTCCAGCCTCGGTCATGCCAAATAATTAGAAATGGAGGGGTTTTTTTTGAGGAGAGGAGAAAATCCGAGTGGGATTACTCACTCCTGAACCAGGGGGAAATATTTTATTTCAGGTTTTAAATCCCACCACAGGAATTCCCAGGG